TTCTTCTTTTTATTCCTTCTAGATGTTTTGATGGTTCAGATAAGTTCTGCTCAGAAGGAGGGAGAGAGAGAGAGAGAGAAGAAGAAGAAGAAGAAGAAGAMGAGAAGAAGAGAAAAGAGAATTCTGTCAAACTAGAGAGTCTCACCTCTCCCAGTCGACCATAACATTTTATTATATTAATTAAGCGTACAAAGTCAAGTATGCCCCTACTTAAGTATGGGTCAAGTAATTTAAAACAAAACAGAATTGACAAGTCACTACTTAAAGTATAATGAAAAGACTAAGTTACCCCTAYKCAACCGACTCTAACGGTCCCCCTCAAGCTGGAGAATATAYGTCATATAATCCYAGATTGTTACATATATAGTTCACYCTCCCTGAACTCATACCTTTTGTGAAGAAGTCTGCCCATTGATCATCCGAACTCAYGCGCTTTGTGCTYATCTCTCTAGTAAGGACTTTCTCCCTTACAAAATGGCAATCAACCTCTATGTGTTGTGTCCTCTCGTGAAAAACCAGATTAGAAGAGATGTGGATAGCGGCTTGGTTGTCACAGTACAATCTCATAGGCTTGTTGATTGAGAATCCAACTTCTTGCAAAAGATTTTTCAACCATACTAATTCACATGTGGTGTGTGCCATGGCCCTATATTCAACTTCAGCACTACTCCTCACCACAACAGTTTGCTTCTTACTCTTCCACGTCACCAGATTTCCTCCAAGAAACGTGCAATAACCTATAATGGACCTCCTGTCAAACACCGAGCCTGCCCAATCTGATCTGTATACCCAACTATCTCAAGACTTCCTCCTGGCTTGTACAACAACCCGCAACTTGGAGCTCCCTTCAAGTACCGTACAATTCTAAGAACTACATTCCAGTGATATACTCRAGGGTTTTGCATAAATTGGTTCACCACACTAACGGCAAAAGAGATATCTGGTCTGATAATGGTTAGGTAGTTCARTTTCCCACTAACCGTCTACATCTTCCAAGATCATCAAACATTTCACCCGCATCACTACTCAACTTATCATTTGGTTCCATGGGTGTTTCAGTTGGTCTAGCACCTAACAATCATGTTTCTTCCAACAGATCAAGAACATATTTTCTTTCACACAAATTTATACCTTGTTTCAACCTGRCAATTTCAAGACTGCGGCAACTCTTCTGGTAATTCTAGGACTGCTGCAATCTCCATTACAGGTGCTAGGAAGGTGTGGTAGCCCTAGGTTGGTGGTTCTAAGACTGTTGTCACCAAGAGTGACAGCCCTAGTGGTCGTGTGGTGGTGTTTATGGTGGTTCAGACCCACTACTGAGCAGTTTCAAGAGGGGTTTTTTGTTTGTTGACTAACAGTTATGGTAGTTGGTTAATAGTAGTGGTGTGAAAAATACTACGTTTTTTTTTTTTTTGATGAAGGAGATGGTCGAATGTGTCTGAATGGTGGTATACATTAGGTTTTCTCATGGTGGCTAGTTGAGAGAGTGTTGTAAGATGATGTGTAGACTGCTGCAGTGTTGACTTAACAGCAGTAATCTTTTTTATTTTTGTTTTTGGTTGGTTGATAATTCAGAATTAGGAAGGGGAATTGATAGTTCCTTGTATTGAGACCACAATGGCAACAACTGGAGATGGTGGTAGACTATTTAGGTGTGCAAATGACATCAATTAAACTTAATGGTGAAAATTATGTGCCATGGGCCAAGTCGGTGGAGGTTTTTCTCAAGGCCAAGAGGAATGTGAAACATGTGAAAGAGGATAAACCATTAGTTGAATCTCCAAGGTTTGATGATTGGGAACAAGAGGATGCCTGATTCATGACATGGTTATGGAATAGTATGAAACTRAGGGAAACATGGGAACATGCCAAGAAGCTTTATTCTAGACAGGACAATACTACGAGAGTATATCAGCTCTATTAGGAGTATTTTAATTTGAAGCAGGGAAATCAAACCCTTGAAAAGTATTATGCCAATATGAGGA